TATCTATCTATCAATCATCTATCATCTATCTATCATCTATCTATCTATCTATCTATCATCTGTCTGTCTATCTATCTATCTATCCATCTTTCTATCTATCTTCTATCTATCTATCTATCTATCTATCTATCATCTATCATCTATTTATCTCTTTTGACTTTGGTGTGGCATAAAGCTTGCCAGAGTGTTCCCACATAATTCTGCCTACATTTTGTTAAGTTGGAGGCTAACATTTTTAAAGGTTGTGAATGAGTAAAAATACTTCTGAAATTTGCTTTTGACTTGCATATGAATAATGTACTTGTGAAGAACTAACATGAAACAGTAAATAAGACTAGTGAATGCAATAAAATTGTAAGAAATATTTTGGATGCAAGTTGAGGCTGAATTTCATCTAATTTTTAATTTATTATTTTAATTTTAGGTGTATGAGTGCTTTGCCTGCATGTATGTAATTCACCACATGCATGCAATTCCTGTAGAGTCTAGAAGAGTATTAGGATCCCATGAACTGAAGTTTCAGGTTCACATTGGCCACATTGTGAGTGCTGGGAATTGAGCCCAGGTTTTCTGGAAGAACAAATGTTCTTAACTGCTGGGTCATCTCTCTAGTATCAAGAGGCTGGATTTTAAGATCAGATACTTTCTGGGGCAAAACAAGTATGATAAAGGAATTCAAAAGAAATTTCAAATTAATATCCCATGTTTATTTAGGTGACTTATATTAAACCATGGGCATTTATAAAAATGTGTGGCAGTAAATATAAATTTTCAGTTTGAAAAAAATTCTTATATTCTTACCTTATTTTTAACGAATTGTGCCTATATTATGATTTTACTTGAATGAATGAAGTTACCCACGTGTAACCCACATCTTCACAAATCAGTCACTTTCTGGTATTCACTAATGATGCTTAACTGTGCTTATAATTTCAATTTGCTTTAACTGCAAAATCTTCAACTTAGGCACAAGAAATAAATTGTACTACACACAGAGGCCTAACTCTAATTTTCACAGGCTTTAGGATCAAGCAAAATTATAGACATTGTAAACACTACAAATTGGAAGGGCGAAGAAGATGAAGACATTTGCAAAGGTATTTATTGAGAAATAGTAAAGATGTACATATTTTTACAAGCTTTTAATATTAATTTACATTTATTTAAATTATGTAGGGCCCAATAATCTATACTTTACTAATACATAACAGAAACCCTTGACTTTATGAGATCTCTGTAACACCACCAGAGCTGGGAGTCAAAATGCAACTTTGGCTCATGATGCTTAGGTTTGTGTTTAAAAGAAATGCTAATTGTCATATCCACTGAAAATGTAGGTTTGTCACAAACAAGTAGGCTTTACAAAAACTTCACAGTAGAGCATGCTGTGGACACTATTTTGAATCTTAGCTCACCAGAGAGAGCTACTATTTAATTTTTGAGCGCAGAACATACAATCCTAAAACGCTATTTTAACTTCTGAGTTGGGTTTATATATTTTTCAGGGTATAGTGTCTTAGCTGTGTGCTATAATATTGTAGCCAAGCCACCTATTTTGTTACTGAAATTGCATGTTTTGATATTTTTAAGTTGCAATATAAGGTAATTTCTTTCTTTTTTTCTAGTACCATACCAGCTTTATATAAGCAGTATTCCAAAACCCATTTTAGTTATAGAACAATTTTCAAACTTGTTTACGATAAGGCACATGAGCATAGAATGCGGGAATTGCCAAGGGGCTGGAATTTTGATTGGTGGTTGGCTTATTTTGTGTTTCAGAAAGGAAAAGGAGTTTCTGTTTTTAGGGTGAAAATGGAAGAGTTGCAGTTTGAGCCTGTTTAAAATCACATGATTAATCTGGGCACATGGCTTTCTGGCTGTACCATTGCTGTACTGGACAAACTTTAGCATCAACTTTACCTGTAGGTGTTTGACTGCCTGCCTCCTCTGGACAGATAAGGAAAAAAAGATGTGTGAGAAGGAGCAGAAAAAGAGCCCAGCAGCCAGCTTCTCTTTGCTCTTGGAAAATGTGAGTCTATCTGTATCCTCTAGGGGAGTAGATTAAGTAGCCTTGCTTGTTTGATTTCAAAAAGAATTACAACTTTTATTCAATGCCCCAAGCCTATCAATTAAAGAAACTTACTGTGTATCAAAAATAATTGTTTCAGTCACGATAGTAAAATTTTAAGGTTTAAGTGCACAAATGAGTATTGATCATTGATACAATGCTAATCTTTTGACTAGTTTTCAAGCTAAAGACCACAGAAGTGTACAATTTATTATTATTGTTATTAATAGTAAATGTATTCCAACCATAATTTGCCATTGTAGTATTTGGGGTAGAGGTAGCCAAAGCCACACTTAAAAAGTAAGGTTCACATAGGAAGCCCTGTCTTGTACAAAATTATCTCATTATCTTTCTGCCCACTGTAAACATAGCTTTGTCATTCTCCAAAGAAATACAGGTGCCTAGCCTGCGGAATTTCCATGGTGAATATTTGTTTCGATCTGTGAGCAAAGCATTGATCTTATTTAAGTTGCAGAAGTCACAGGTGGTGCAGTATCATGAGGCCGGCTCAAGTGAGTGGCCCAGAACAACAGCTGGACTCTAGGCTCCACAGTACGCCATTAGAACAGAGAGCTTCAGGTGCTCCCTCCATTACAGCACTTTAGATCTTGAAGTCTTAAATATCCACAAGGTGAATCACGCCATAAAAAAATGACAGGAGAACCTGTACAGCTTTCCCAACATGGGTTACACACCAAGGGAAAAAAAAAGACATGCAAACACACCAATGACAGGCTGTCCCCGAAACGAATACAGGCATTGTCCAGTAACAGTACAGGAGAAGCCCACGTGTTCTACTCTGCACGAGGAGTAGACTGTTGTGTTATGGTGGAGAGCTAATTATCTTTCTGTTATGACTTGGCAATGCTGGCAAGTTCTGGCTTGCTTGCTAGTTAACTTTTAATACTATTCTGGGGAAAATTTTCATGGACTCACTTCTTTCCTTGGGAGCCATTTAGTACACCTGCCTTCCAACAATGATCACATTTCATTTTGCAATGGCATAAAGGCTAAAACCATATTTCACTGTGTGAATTTTAAGCTACGCCCATAGCATAGTCTAAAAATGACTTGGGTGATAATTGCTAATGATTTGCACCATAATATCTTCCTCCAAGAAATTTATACATGTAAAAAGGTCTTAACCTCAAAGCTGTGCAAGTTGTCATGAATATGGCTCTTAGTTTTCTTCTGGCAAATGGTAGTGAGGATACTTGAGACTTAAACATATGTTTCATTTCTTAAAAGATCCCATAACCCCCCAAACCTTCTGCTTATGGTTAGATGCACAGATAGTTGTCTCATACAATTATTGGAATTATTCAGAACCCAAATGGAATACAAGCTCTTGTGTATTATTATTGTTGGTTTCTCATTGCAATAAATATTCAATTTGTTAATGATGCAGTATTAAACTCCAATAAATTCTGATAGCTTGAATTTTAAATTTGGTCATGTTAAGAACTGTCACAAAAGTTTTTTTCCAATTTTGGTG